ATTAATCTCATGTGTCAAAGAAAATCCCAAGAGAAGCTATTCTCAATTCTATTAATACTATATGGCCAACATCACTCTCTGTGGATTCCAGTCCTGCTACTGGTTCATCAAAAATAGACTACAAAAAAAATGTTTCTAGTTTGCTTCTCCATTGCACAGCTACAGGGTTTTTTTTACAGGAGTATGAAATGATCAAATGGGAGTTATAACACATTTTTATGGTTTTGAGAAACACACTATGCATGAATAAACAATGTGCTACTCCCTGCTTAGCTCCTAGGAGTCATTAGCATTAATTAGAGTGCTATTGCTCAACCTAAACAACAAAACTTGGAAATGGAAAATTTAATTCCTATTCTTTCTTATGACTAATTCTGTTGCTCTCCACTAGTTGAAACCTGAAATTCAATCTGCGAAGAGTAAGTTTTATTAGTGTTAGGCATATAAACATTGCTGATAAGGAACAAAGCAGTTGCCTCAGTAACAGATGAAACTGTTCTCCAAAACAAAAACTTACAGAACTGTATTGTCAAAAGGTAAATAAGAATTTAAAAAAATTTATAGAAATATCCCTATTATCATGATAAACTTATCTTGGTTTACCTGGCAGAATGGACTAGGGAGTGAAAAATAGAAGAAAGAAGTTTAGTGCACTGTCAGTTATACTTCATCTCCTCTACTTCAACTGTGCCCTACCCCCAATGAAAACTCTTAAAAAGTAAGATATCTCTTGACAGACCTTGCTAAATCTTTCAATAATGTGATAAAATAGGAGAACTTGTGCAAAGGAAATAAAAGTTCATCCTGTGAAACTTTAAACCAGATCAGGGCATATCTGTAAGAGATGCAGGGGTGTTGCTACTCTGGAAAGCAGCTGCTAGACTGAAAATTCAACCCTGGAATGTCGCCACTTCAAGAACAGGAACATCACTTCCTGTTCCCTGCACAGGACAGGATATTGGGATTAGACGTACAACTTTACACAATAGATTAGATTCTTAAAATCCAAACTAAGTGGTTTCCCATTAGTTTGTATAACTTTAACAAAGCCAGTTCCAAGATACCTTAGACTAGGGCACAAGGGTACTTTAATGCAGAACTCTTATTTTTAACATCCACATATATAAAAACCAGAATTGTACTCCACTGAAAAGTAGCTAGTGTGGTTTTTTTTCCCCCGGTATTTTGAATATCTATATACATGATGCAAAGGCACAGTCATTTTATTTTTAGAATTCTGGTTTTGATGTAATGGTGACTTTTTTTTCTCAGATGATTTATTCATCCACGTATTCCAAAACATCTTTTCTTAATAAATATATTTTAGCAGTTAACTAAAAAGGGAAGTCTGTTAGCAGGAAGAAAATAAGCAGAAGTGTTGGCCATATAGATTACTCACAGTAGTAGTTTCTTGGTACAGAGCTGCTAAAAAACTACTTGATTTTGGCATGTTTCAGTTTCTGAAAGTATTTTCTCTGTAATTCCCAGAGTAGAGAACTCTGAAGATGTGGTAAAGTTATGCAAAGGGTCACTACATCCAAAGAATAGCTGTTTGCTTTGACTAATAAAGAAAAAGAGACCCTGCATTGAGAAGTAACAATAAATAGCTACAGCATACTTCTTACATAGACAAAATGCAGAGATTTCAGTGGGAGCTCTGCCATGTTTAATGCAGGATAATAGTGCTCTGTCACAGGCAGGATCACAGAGGAAATAAACAGAGCACAGGCAAATCCCACAGGATGTCCACACAACTGTTCCATACACAGAAGATGGGAAGGAATCTAATGTGACTAATAGTTCAAAATATCCAGTTTCGTACTGGCTCCAGTTGGAAGAGCAGCCAAGAAAACATTCTTACACATCAAGATGAGCGTGAGAACTTTGCTTTTTAGATTTAGGAGAGGAAATACAAGAAAAAACTTCACAGAAAACTAGTGTATTTTGAATCTGAATTGCTTGTCAGGGCAAAGGGGTCGTGGTGTTCGGCCCCTTCAACAAAGGTCTTCAAATACTCACCAGCAGAAGCACAAAAAAAAAAAAAAAAAAAGAGCTGTGCAAGGCTGTGGGAGTAAACTGACCTCTGCTTAATATACCAACTACATGTTTAGTCTCAGAATCCTCTCTAATTCCTCCATGGATCCATGAGGTGGGATCCACAGCAGATTGTCCTGCTCATCCTACTTTTGAGTTTGGTTGTCTGCCACCAGTAGAAGTATGATCTGGACTCTAACCCCAGCAGGCTCAGTTCCTGTTTGCCTACTGTTTAATCCATATCCAATGACAGCTCTGCTGCTGAGACAAGCCTCTATACAGACACTTTCCACACCTCAGAGAGTACAATTTCATTTGGAAAGTATTACTACAAATAATCCTAATTAAATAGTTCAGCATTAAATCTCAGCCTTCTTAATAAAGTTTCTGAAATTAGTAATTGAAGCCAATAAAAAGAAATTATGAGATTTGTTCAATAGAATTACTTTACAATTAAACTTCTTGGCAGTGACATTAGAGAACAAGTAGATGTTTTGAATCAGTTAAGATGTTAATTTAAAGATCTTAGCTCCATCTTGAACTCTGTCATATACTGATTGCCTCATTTATTTTGTCAATATGTGCACAGTGACATTAAAAGTTCCATATATTACTAGCTGTTAGAGACACTTTGGGAAAAAAATAATGCAATGTCTCCAAAATTGCTCTCAAAATCTAATATTCAAAACTTACTGATCAAGAAGTGAAAAAGCAAAATAGAAAAAAATGATCACAGATAACCACTTGAACTAAATCTACTGAAGAAAAAAAATCTGAATACAATGACCATTTATGATACTACTCATTTAAAAAGTAGTTAGCATGCTGGACTTTGTACATATATAATCTGGTTTTAAAACCTAAAATCCTTCTGAGATTCTAAAGGAGCATCCACCACTCACAGCAACTTTATAAAGCATGAAATCAGCAAAACAGTAGTTTCTTTTTCCAAGACCACATTACCTTCTTTTTAACCCAAAAAGTGCATAATGGACACAAAAAAAAGTTTTTAAAATTATCCTAGAATGCAGTCAACTGATCAACAGAGACTATGCCAGCAACTCTGGAATACTACGAAGCTCATAAAGTTTCTTTCATTAGAAGAGAAAGAAGAACAAGAGTAAGAATTTCAGTGCAGTGCTGTGATTGTAGCCAAACTGATCAGTTACTAGATAAGACTCTGATATAATTTTACACTGCATTATAAATTAAGAATTTAACCTCATTAGATCAGAAGTCTAAGAAAATTTAAGTTCTGCCCTTAGAAAGTGCCTAACACTCTATGCTTTAAAGGTTAATGAAGGAAAAATTTGACATTTTGATGCATATTAAAACGCATACGGACAATACTTTTCAAACCTTGAGCCTGCACCCTTCAGCATAAGATCTTCTCTATTTGTATCTAACATGTGAGTTTGGAATCATGAACCTTATTGATAATTATATATGAAACTATTTTGCCCAAAATTCACCATATCTTCATATTTTAATAAAATTTTAGGTTCATTAAATCAAAGAGCTCTCGACATCAATTTAAATTTACTGTGGAGCTTAAACCACAGATTCAACAATTGTACAAATCTATGCAGTCATATCAGATGACACTGCTAGGTATAATCTAAAATACACTTGATCCAAATTTTCAACAATTCAAATGGCAGAGCTTTTACTGCCTCATTCAGAGAGACAATGTATGTACTAATACATTTTTTAAGACAAATCCCCCTAAAGGACCTTCAAATTGGCCAATTAAAGACTGCACATTCCGAATTACCATTCACATTTGATAATTTTACCCAGATTTAGAAGATGGAAATTAAAACTGTTGTTTGTGAACTGGAAGCAATTTCAGACAGGTTTATAAACACATACAAACAACCATAACTATGTATGACAGACATTCTGAATACTTGAAAACTCAATACACTCATGGCCCATAAATTGCTAAAGTCTAAATGTTTAACAAAACGGAGTTACTCAAGTAATAAAGGTTTTAAAGGCTAATCTATGACACATAGCAAAATATCCTAGAGAATAATTTATGCCTAAAATTTATTCTCATACTACACTGGGGTAATGGTTCAAACATCCCTTTTAAACTCATCTCTGCAGCTGTAACAATAAGAACAGCTACATAATCAGTAACTGTTGTACAAACCAATAGCAATACTTTAAGGCACCTTCCTAAACCCCACAAACAGCAAGGAACTCAAGCTGAATATTACCATACTATCATAATTTGATGCACGAACACATTGCATTACCATCATCTTTTGAATGATTTTCAGGCATAGACCTATATATTTTCAGGCATAGACCTATATACAGTAGTTACAAAGACATTGTAGACTTCATCTGACATTTTTGTTTAATTATGGGGTGGAAAAGAAAAATATTTGCTTAAAGGATGGATACATCTTTTTTCTAGTAAGTGGTTTCATAAACATTTTCAGTGATTCTGATCAATGTTTTTGAATTGCCCAGGCATCTAGCTAAATTCAAAATGAGAAAGATTGCTCCAAATCCTAAATATTTTATGAAGGAGCTCAGTACTTTCAGATCTGCCAGGCTTCGTAATTTACAGCATTGCTTCCTTACCCCGATGCTATTTAGATTGTATTTTTTATCTTCACAATTGTTTCCCAAAGAAGACATGCAGCACTTTCATTGTACACTGAATTCAGACTATTTTTAAGATTAGCTTATCACAAAATGATGATACATTTTTTTACATAAAAGTGCAATTGGAAAAGTTATTGTGCAAATGCATTTCAGTTGTTTGCAGCAGGACTGGCTAAATGAGTCGCCAGCATTTATTACCAAAGAAACCTGTCATAAATGCAATCCATTACATCAATATGGGAAATACCATGCTATTTGGACATGCATCTTTTTTTCTGCCTGCTAGGAATTCTAGTTATGCTTTCATTGTGCTGAGGACAGATCAGTCTTTTCCATACACTTACCCTCTGACAGCATGAATAAGTCTCAGTGATGGATAGGCGGTTCGCACTTTCAATTTATTCTTAAGGATTAATGCATTAACCCACTCCACATGCTTCTCTCCACCTTTGACCATGAAAGCTGGGATCCAAAGGACACTGTCATTCAGCATGGATAGTCTATGTACAAATTTTTCTCTGTCACTCTCATTCCGAAAGCCTCCAAATGCTCTTTGTACAACTGATGGGTTCATGGTAATAAAATCAGATTTAGTTCCCACATCGGCAGCATACTCCACCACAGGAGCTAGATTGCACCTGAAGAGGAAGAAATTAATGGAAAAATGAAAACAAATATGAAACATTAACTCAGAAAAATGTGTGCATGAAAGGAAAGCTAAAAGAAAAGCTAAAAGCTTTTTTTTTTTTTTTTCCAGAAAGCTAAAAAGGAACATGCAAGCCCAATTCAAATTAATGTGAGAAAAAAATACCAGTATAAAAGGTGTGATAACACACAGTATTTTACTCAGGTTGGACAAGGATGAGACAAATTTTTAAAAACATTAGGTGTACAGAATGCTGTGACAAAAAAATACCCCTCTTTGGAATCATTTGGAAACCATATCATTATGTTCTAGACTACATCAACACCTAAAGCAGCACTTGTGAATAATATGCTTTCTTAAACCTATTACCTTTCATTATTTGTTTATCATCATGTTGCCAACAGCTCTCACACAAAGAAAGCCATGCTACCAAAACAAGGCATATTTTATACAATTGAGTCCATGCATTTTTATTTTACTTTACTTACAACACAATATTTAAATATTATTTAAAAACTACCTTTACCCCATCTTTAAATGAATTTTTAGTATGTTCATTTTTGGTATTAGCACTACAGTTGGTAAGATGTTTAGAAATCTAGTATTTTTATTTGACTCAGAACTGCAATTTTTGGAAAAAAGTATTGAACTTTCAGTTTTTCGTTCATATCCCATTTTCAAACCTTCTTTAATTCTGCAGTAGCTTTGTGCCTTTTTCCTAGGGTTGAAAAGTTCTCATTATGCCATTGTTCAGCAGATTTTACTTCAATTACATAAATACATACATACGTAATCCCACATATGCATTGAAGGCAGATGACAAAATTCAGAAATTTGTCTTCAGCGACCAGTATAATGTGACAGAAACAAATCTTTTCCACAACATCCTCAATGAATTAGCCCGTAGCTGGTATGCCCCAAAACCACACCCTAACAGAACATTATTTTCATAACTTAACAGACTGTTCTGTTTGAGCAAAGGATGGCAAGAAGCAATGTTGGAACAGGCTCCTCCAAAACATTTGCATATTATCAAACTACTAATATAAACAAAGTATTCCATTAATTCTGCAATTTTTTATCCATTAGTTTCTTCTAATGCCAGATGTCCAATGACATAAAAATAAGTCAGCATTACTTAACATCAACTGATGACGGAGTCCAGACTGATAATACTAATTACCCAGAAAATAATTTTCATTATGTAATTATCAGGTTAAGAAGTGGTCCTAGCTTCTTCAGAAAGATATTCTGAAGACTATAAAGCAAATATATTCCTAGGAGATAAAGAAGTCCAAGTTTCTGATAACTTGCGGGCAGAAGTAAGCTAAGGAAATAAATCTACATTCTTCATTATCTTTATGTATCTATTCCACAAACTCTCTGAATGCATTTCAGGCTGCTACGAGTAGTATCTTCTAGAAAATGGTAGTTAGGGCATGAGAAAAACTCCTACTAGCTTTTAAAATTTCTTGTGAAAACCTTAATGCATGAACTTACAACCAGACATTATTAAAAGTTTTTCTAAAATCTAAAAATAAATGTGATTTAAAAAATCAAACAAATACCTAAAACCAACCAATCAAACTGTCTGAATTACTGCTGCTTTTGAAAATAACTCCTTTAAGGGCAGATTGCACAACATAATGAGGGATTTGTATAGTGGGTTTGTTTTAGTAGTCACATATACACATGTGATGAAAGCTATTAACGAAAAATGCAAGACAGATTTTGCCATTGCATATCCTGCTCCCTCTGAGTCCAACTTTGAGAAACAGACCATATATGTACCAACATCACCATGTTTAAAAAGCTGCCATATGCATACATTGTATGCCATTACTGCTACATCAGTAACTCAAATCTGTATTTTAAAAAGGTATACAGTGTAAGCAATATGAATTTGTAACTTATCTCATATTCAGATTTTTCAAGCAAAACTTCAGAAAATAATGAGCAATCCAAACACACTCAGTAACAATAGGATTGCAATTCTTTACCACGCTTATTGTAAAATGTCTACCTTCCTTCACTTTAAAATTATTGCACCTTGTTGTGGTGCAACAGGCTGGGCTAAAAAGTTTCTCCCTATCTTTTTTATATGTTTCATGGCTAATAAAGCTGGTTATTGTGTATTTGTATATAGACCTGAGTGTATGTATATAGCTTTTACCTGTTCTGGAACTTTTACATTAACCTCTAACACATCTTTATGCTATGCCACAGTTTCATACTGCTGTTGGAATTTTTAAATTTATTTTGTTAGAAGATGTCAATGATCTCCCACCAATTCTCATGATTCTTTCAAGAAAACTTCACATTCAGAGGCAAACACAGACATACTAATTTTATTTTAAGTGACATGAAGAAGCCTATTAACTGAACAACTTTTAAATAATCATAGCAATATGCTTCCCTTGTTGTATTTTTTAGTTCCAGCTAATTTGCCATAAGGCAGAGAATGCCAAATATAATCACAACAGAGAGGAGGTAGTGAGGGTGTTTCTGCACCAAAAGCATTACATGCCTAGGCATTTATTCACCATAAATAAAACAATGCTTTTCTTAAAAATTTTAAGGAACAATATATAAAAGATTGTAATTTACTGAATTTCCCCTTTCTCACGCGCCATATTATAAGTACCTTGTAACATATGGATGCATATGGACAAACTTCTTGCAACATACCATCATTTTCCATTAATTCTAAAAACAACCTCAGTGTTGTCTTCATGTTAGCATGCAAGCAAGCAGGCTACATGAAAGCTGAGCAAAACAAACTTGCTATGCTACTGTTACTGAGAATAAAAGAACAGTAATGAAGAGACACACTGAGCACTGAAGACTGACATAATTAGGCAAATAGCTAAGAATTTCAGTATTGATAATATATCACATTATAAAAATGTGATTTTGTAAATTTGTAAATGTCCTGGATCTCCTTCCCCTGAGCAAGCTATCGACTGTTTCCAGAAAAAAAGATGGAATGAGCATTCTCCCAGCAAAAATAATTGTCTAAAATAATGGTTTTCATGGGTTCCTTTGATATTTTTTCCCATAAAAATTCAGTTTCAGTATATTGTTTAAAACAAAGAATCTCATGGGTATTTTTTTATGTATAAAAGCATTTAATCAGAAATTCTAACTACTACTTCCTTCCCTTGCACAAAACCAGCAAATAATTAGTTGTTATTTCTTTCCGTACCTCTTCTAAGCACTAACTATGGCAGAACTACTTAGAAAATGGTCTAATGAGACAAAAATTGGTATTTTTTAGAAAGGGCAGTTAGAAAAAGACCTAAGTGTATGTGAAACATTCATAATTCATCTGATTGCTAGTATCATAGGCAATACTATCCATGGTACCGCCAATTAATGCTGCAGTGCCTGTTCTTCCCATGACATCAGACGAGACCATAGACAAAGCCTCTGCACAGCTATTTCAACAAGGTGGTTACCCTAAACTTAGTATTAAGCATCAATTATATTATTTAGGAACTTTCTAAGCTTACATGTACACAAACACTATGCACAACCATAATACTAAAAGGCAAATATACCTGTAACATATACCCAGTAAAAATACAGGGGTTCCCATGCATGAGGTTTCAGTGTTGTAACAGAAGATTTTAAACTGAAAAATGCATTGCACTGTTATCACTAAAAGAGCTCTGAGATAAAAGGCAAAAATTAGATAATGTCTGAAATATCATGCAGAATTTGAGCACACATAAAACAACTGAGATACTAAGACACGCAGACCAAAAAGTCTCAGTAATTGAAAATCTGATTCTTCTACGAACACCTGCTGCATGTATTAGCTACAGCAGGATATGTTAAGAAAAAAATGTGGGGAAAAAAACTGTTGATGGCTGGAGTTGTATGCCATGAGAAAAAACTTAAGAATGGAGTAGGTGCTCCTATACCACACTTTCACCAAACTGGTGATCATCCCTGGGTTTGCTGTGCCATCTTTGTGGCCCAAACATCCGTAACATACATAGACTTTTAGAAAGCAGAGCTTAACAAAGAAAATAATGCAATCAAAATCATAAAAAATACGCTCAAATGAGAAGTCAGTTATTCTTCAGAGATTCAGTTCAACTTGCTTTATCATTAATAAGTATACAGATCATGTATATGAATACAAAGGTCCAGCACACAGTATTTATAGACCATATTTCAAGTTAATTTTAAATAAAAGCCATTAAAATTTCCTTGAGTAAAATGGCTATCATTTCAATTTTATCTGACATTGAGAACCAAAACAATACTTTACCTACAGTAGAATAATGCAAGAAATGGCCATGAATCTGTACACTTCTTAATCCTCTAACAACTGGTGGACTTGAGGATTACAAATTTAAATAAGTACTTCAAAACACTATAAAGCCATGGGAAAGAAGTGCTTTATACTGATGCTTTGTTTCATTGTTATCTTCTCTTTGTAGACCAAAGCCAAAAATATCAGTTGCACAGTAATAAACAAATACTTTCTGAGAAGACAAAAAATGAAAACCAGATTGTTGCTGGCAGATATATTAAACCTTTCTGAAACATAAGGCATTACACTAGATTAGTGTCAATAACATACACTCATTCCTGAGTAGCCTGCAAGGTTTCATATCCAATTCATATCCAAATTCTTGTAAGAATCAAAATGGTAATCTTGAGTTCAGTGGTTCATGCCATTTTTAGGAAATAACTGGACATGAAAGAAAAATTAAAGGCTTGAGGAAGGCTTAAAGGCTTAAAAAGCAGGAGAGGAAAAATAGAGTTCAAGACTGAAGAGAACCTCACAGCTGGACTACACTCAATCTACAAGCAAGAAGCACACTGCCCCAGTACTTGTGTGCATATAGCACATCTTCTCACCCGGTTCTCCAAAGAAAGGTGTGCAGCAGTGCTGTGGTAACTTTCACATACACACAAAAAAGAGGAATTTACAAAAAAAACGCACAAACTTCCTATTTCCTCCAACAAATGCAATTA